TTGAAAACCCTACAGGGCTCCTTAGGCTGGAGAGCAGCTTTAGAATTTGCCAAGCGGGGTGCTTGTATCCACCCATCCTTCCCACGCCAAGAATACCCAGCGCTGGTTTTTTCATCCTCCTCAACCACCACGACATTGTCAGATGCCGCTACTGCACTATAATACTAGTGCCAACCTAGCAGTTCGAAAGCAAGAAATTGCAAGTAGATAAATAGGGACCACTTCGGTGGGAAGGTAACAGCGTTCCGTGCGCCTTGGGGTTTAGTCATGCCGGCCACATGACCACGGAAACGTCTTCGGACAGCGCTGGCTCTTCGGCTTTGAAACGGAGATGAGCACCGCAAGCCTAGAGTCGGATTCGACTGGCTTTCGAGCAAGGGAACCTTTACCTTTTTACTGAGGAACCACTGCCCAGTTTTTAGGCAACTGAACCCCCCTTCACAAACGCTTTTTTGCTTGCTTGCTTTGATGTTTATGTTTAACGCCACTGGTCAAAGAACACTGAGAATTTTCTTCCACATTTTTTTTTACCTCAACTTTTCTCAAAGGAGCTCAGGGAGCCGAATGGAGGTTCTCCTCTCCCTCCCTCATTTTATCCTCACAACAACCCTGCAAGGAAAGCTAGGCTGAGAGAGAGAGGAAAGAGAGAGAGGGAGAGAGAGGGAGAATAACAGGCCCTATTGCTATTTATGACTCTTGTTGTGAAAACTGTAATTAAGAAGAAGTAACAGGCCCTAAATCAACTGTGGAGACTCATGGGAAAGTGAAAATCTGAACCCAGCTCCTCTCTGGTCCAATGTTCCCTCTAAGCTATGAAGTCCTGTGAGCAAAAATTCTACTTTGTGAGCTACTTGCATTTAAGTTGTGAGCGAGCGATTTGGCTATTGCATAAATTAATTTGCTCTGGAGCCACTTTTCCTGAGCCAAGACAAAAATGTGTGAGCCGGAGGCTAAAAAACTGTGAGCTAGCTCACACTAACTCAGCTTAGAGGGAACACTGCTCTGGTCCTAAATCCAGCACTCTAACCACTATGCCTCAATGGCTTTTAGAGTTCCTTCGAACTAATTCCTGTGCAGCAGAGTGAGCTGTTGCTTGTCGCTCTGCGGTGCTGTTCCCTTGTTTCTGGCTTGGAAAGGGGCAAGCCCCAGCCCTTACCGTGGTCAGTGGAAATCTATCTCCGTCGGGCTTCTCCTCTTGGGTGATGAGCTCAAACCGGCCAGCACATCCAACCTCCAGAATTGAGAGAGGCAGGTCCAGAGGCCCCCTGGGGGGCAGGGCTTGAAGGCAAGACAAGGATGTTTCAGAATTCACCCATCACTGTTAAATCTTGACTGTCGCTTAGCAGGCATACCAGGCGCTCCTTTCTTTGTGGGTGGGCGCCAAGAGATTTAAACCCATTTGACTTTGAACCAAACAAGTCCACTGGACTCAAGCCTCAGAACCAGAGCTGGATGTATGCCCGCTAAGTAAGCAGTGGTTTAAGGTCTCAGACTGGGACAGTCCTCTAAATTTAAAAAAACAAACAACACCTAAAATTATTAAATTAATTGCCTTTCTTTTTCTTTTAATTATACCTGAGCTTTCTGCCCTCATCAGAGCCACCAAGGCAGCTAACAGATTAAAAACATAGATAATTGAGACTCATCCAGTCCAACCCCCTGCACAATGCAGGAAATTCACAACTACCCCCCCATGTCTCCAGTGACCCCTGCTCCACGCCTAGAAGATGGCGGGGGGGGGGGGAACCCTCCAGGATCCCCGGCCAAACTGGCCTGGAGAAAAATTGCTTTCTGACCCCCAAGTGGCGATCGGCATTTCCCTGGGTGTGTAAAGAAAGGGTCACTAGAACTAAGCACTGAGGCAACCCTTCCTGCCCTCCCTCTCAGGATCTGCCTAAGTTCACAGAATCAGCATTGCTGTCAGATGGCCATCTAAGCCTCTGTTTGAAAACCTCCAAAGGAGGAGAGCCCACCACCTCCCAGAATACTTTGATTCCATATCAACGTGTATCTGAACTTTGACTGTTAACTGCTGTACCTAGGCAGGAGGTATATGGCCTCACATGGATTTCAATCACTGAGGCTTCAACTTCACATAGAGTAAAAACGTGCATGTCTTTGTCATATGAACACTGTCCCTACAAGATTCTCAAGGACAAAATAAAATACACATGAAGCTGCCTTACACTGAATCAGACCATATGTCCATGCTGGGGATTATTAGGAAGGGAATCGAAAACAGATCAGCCAGTATCATACTGCCCCTGAATAAATCGACGGTGCGAGTCGGAGTACTGTGTACTGTTCTGGTCACCACACCTCAACAAGGATATTATAGCATTGGGGAAAGTGCAGAAGTGGGCAACTAGAATGATAAAAGGGTTGGAACACTTTCCCTATGAAGAAAGGTTAAAACGCTTGGGGCTCTTTAGCTTAGAGAAACAACGGCTGAGGGGTGACATGATTGAGGTTTATAAGATTATGCATGGGATGGAGCAGGTAGAGAAAGAGGTACTTTTCTCCCTTTCTCACAATACAAGAACTCGTGGGCACTCAATGAATTGCTGAGCAGTCGGGTTAGAACAGATAAAAGGAAGCACTTCTTCACCCAAAGAGTGATTAACACATGGAATTCACTGCCACAGGAGGTGGTGGTGGCTACAAGCATAAACGGCTTCAAGAGGGAATTGGATAAACATATGGAGCAGAGGTCCATCAGGGGCTATTAGCCACAAGGTATAGATAGGGACTCTCAGTCTGGGGCAAGGGATGCTCTGTATTCTTGGTGCTGGGGGGGGGCGAGCAACAGTGGGAGGGGCTTCTAGTGTCCTGGCCCCACTGGTGGACCTCCGGATGGCCACTGTGTGACAGAGTGTTGGACTGGATTGGGCCATTGGCCTGATCCAACATTGGCTTCTCTTATGTTCTTAAAGTCAGTCTTGTCCACTCAGATTGGCAGCAGCTCTCTGGGGACTCAGGCAGAAGTATTTCCCATCACCTCCTACCTGAACTTTACTGGAGTTGCCAGGGATTGAACCTGCACTCTGCCCCTGAGCGTAGGCCCTTCCCCCAAACATCCAATAGCTTCTGGCCCTCCTTCCTATTGTACACTTATGTTATGTTATGTACTGTACACTTATGTTTTTCACAGCACAGAATCCCCTGTGCTTGTCCTTTTAACACATACACGCAAAGCAGAAATTCCAACAGTGCAATTAACCCCAGATGCAGATATGGAGAAAGCTGCCATCTATCAGATTTGTTTGTCATGCTGTTGGAAAAGCCCTGCTAGAAAAGGAGAGACCAACAGCCAGTACATAAGACAAATCCAATCACTTGGTGGAAAACCACATAGACCTCATTTTCATTCACAAGGCAGTTTGCATCTGTCATCTGCAGACTGGCATACCATCGGACTATTCTTCTGCCCGTTTTTATATTATTAACTTTTAAAAATGTGAATACTGGGTTTTTTTGCAGCGTAAAACTAAAAATCCATTCCTTGGTTTCACAGCCAATGTTCCAAGTAAGTATGTGTTATTCATTGACACCCCACCTTTCTTTTCTCAAAAAGAAAAGCAAAACTTGAGGCAACTAACAAAAAAAAATTACAAAACGAAATTGCCATCTCTCCCTTCCTTTCCTCGCACTGTGCCTGGCTGGAGTCCAATAACTGTATATTTATTCAGATGTTTCACCGCCTGCTTTTCTATCACCGTACGATGTTCGAGTCATTCTATTAATACGCACACCCAACGGATGCTTACAGCGGTGGAGCTCACTCACCACGATCCCCCCCATTGACATTAATAAAACTGCATTAAAAGAAAGCGTCTCCTTTCATTTTTCCTTTATTTTTTTAAGCATGCCCAAGCCAGCCACCCCCTCTCCCTGCCAGTCCCGCGGAGACCTTCCCCTCCCACCTGACTCCGCTCGCTATCCTCACCTATCCTCTCCAGCTCCATCGCTGCAGTTGCCACTCGAGCAGGGGCGGGGCGCCACCTAACCTCCCCTAACCCGGAAACACTCCTTTCTATCCCGCATAGTAAGGACAAGAGCTCTGCAACGGGCAAAGGAAGAGGGGGGATAGAAGTGGCGGAAGGCAATGGCTTCTCCGGGCGGAAGTAACCGCTGTTCCCTGCCTCTGAAGGGCGGAAGTTTCCGCAAGCAAAACGGGATTTGTCGATCACAGTAAAGGAATCATGAAAAGACAAATCCAGGTTGTCAGCCGTGTTAGGCTGAAGCAGCTGAACAAATGTAGAGTCCAGCGGCACCTTTATAACCAATAAAGGTTCATTCAAGCTATGAGCTTTCGTGTGCATGCACACTTCTTGAAATACAGTGAAAGCTTATACATTGAATTAAACTTTGTTGGTCTTAAAGGTGCCACTGGACTCCAAACTTGTTCTGCGGCTTCAGACCAGCAGGGCTGACCACCACCACCCCATCTATCTAGGAATCATAAAACAAGGTTTGAGTTCAGCGGTACCTTTAAGACCAAAAAAGTTTTGTTCAAGGTATGAGTGTTCTCAGATACACTGCAATGGAAGGTAACAGTATCTAGGGGGTGAACGGCAAATTAGCATACAGCATAACAACGATGTTTTAACAGAGGCAGAAAACTAAACAGGAGTCATAGTGATCAAAGGGGAAGGGGAAGCCGAAACTTTCTACCACCGTCCGGGAAAGAAGGGGTAAACAGTGCGCGGTCCAATGGCAAAACGCCATGCAAATTATAACGCGAGTTCCCCTCCCCCTGCCATTTGGTCCTTTACTGTAACCAAGCCAATGAGCGGCCTTTTATTCAAATCAGAAACTGCCTGGCCTCCCAGGCGCACTTCGAACGCGTTTTCCTCTTCTGCAGTTCGACCAATGAAAGGCAATATGCAAAATCTCCATCCATCTTTTTTTTTATCTTCACTGAGTTCCAGACAAGCTTGATCAGCCAATGGAACTCGCGTCGCGGGGCGGTTTATGCAAATTAAGAATTCTACCGCCTCCCTGATTGTGCGGAGAGCTTGTGGACGGAAGAAAGAGGCGCGCGTGCGCGAGAGAGGAGCCGAGGCAAAGAGAAGGACCAATTGGTGAGTGAAAAATCCGACGAGGGATGCAAAAATAGAGTTGGCACGAGTGATGGGGCATTATGGGACAGGGTCATCAAACTTAGACGGTGGGGAAAGGAACATAGTTGACATGAGTCCCAGGGCATCATGGGTCACTCATTGGATTGGGCCTTGCCCTGGTGCATGGAGGATGGGCTGGGCTGTAAAAGACCTGTTGGTACTGTCATAGGATGTTCTAGCAAGCCTCTCAAGGTGAGGAGGTGTGTTTACAGGACAAAAGAGGTGGGGACCTTGCTGGGTTGACTTGTGGCCCGAGTGTAGTGTGGCTCAGTTCTTTGACAGAAACTTCTCTGCCTCTGTGTTTCTTTAGGTACACAGATGTGCTTGCACATGCATAAGGTACACGTGATCCCAGAGTTGTACTATATTGGGGTTACCAAATGTTCTCTTTTTAGAGGACATGTCCTCTTTTGGGTTCTTTTTAAAAAACTGATGAAAATGTCCCCTTTTTGAGTTGGAAGGTTAGGAATTTTCTTAGTAGCAGTCATCACAGCTACAATAATAGGGATCTTTGGAATGAGACTTGTCATAGTGATCGCTTGTTTGGAGTAGTCAGTCGGGAAATATGTCCTCTTTGTTGCTTTTCAAAATATAACCCTAACTTTATTCTCGTAAACATGAGATCATAAGAACTCTGCGCAAATAAAGGGCCATCTGATCCAGTCTTCTGTTTCGTACAGGGGCCAGACAGAAAGGCTACAAGCCTTCCTCTCTTACTGCTCCTTAGCAAGCGGTATTCAGAGATATACTGCCTCTGTAAATGGAAGATTCCATTTTGCCATCATGAGTTAGCAGCTGCTGATGGACTTAAACTTCATGAACCTGTTAAAGCTGCCTAGGCTACTGGTTATTATGCTGTCCTGTGCCATGAAGTTCCACGAGATAATTATGCATCGTGTGAGGAAATGTTTTATTTTGGCAGCTCTGAATCTACTGACTGTCAACTTCATTGGGTGTCTCTTGAATTATACAGTTTCAGAAGAAAAAGTTCTCGCCGTTTTCTGCGCACCACACATAATTTGCTCCCTCGTTGTGTGCATTTCCCCCTCTAAACTGAAAAGCCGCACTCCACAGTGCTCTAAAATCTGTTTCCTGCCACGACCCCCGACATCACTCAGTCTGCAGCGTTTCTCTGCTCTTTTCTGCTTAAAGATGTGACAGAAGCTCGTAGACAGAAGGGGCAGTTGTGCATACCACAGCTTGAGGGAAGTCGTGGAGCAATTTGGAAAAGAGTCACAGGGAAAGCTGCTAATAGGATAGCTGGATCCATAAAAAGATTGGCTTTATTTCCTGCTTGTCGATGTCCACCAGAACTTTATTATTGTAAGATCCTATTATGTAATTTTTGTACCGCTTATTGTGTCATGTGAATTCCTCTGCTGTGTTTCAGTTCTTTCTGGTGGGTGAGACTGCTACATTCAGGGCCGACTTATCTAGTAGGCACAGTGCCCAGGGCCCACAATACTTTTAGGGGCCCACTGAAATGTTTTCATTTCTTTTAAAATCAGAAGAAGAAGAAATGGTCTTTTGTCGTTCAGTTGCACAGTCGAGTCCAACTCTTTGTGACCCCATGGACCACCTCACACCAGGCCCTCCTGTCTTCTACTGTACTCTGGAGTTTGCTTAATTTCATGTTTGTTGCATCGATAACACTGCCTAACCATCTCATCCTTTGCCGGCCCCTTCTTCTTTCTCGTTCAGTCTTTCCCAGCATCAGGGTCTTCTCCAGTGAAGAAGAAAAAATGAACTTTTAGAGTCAAAGAAAATGTTTTAATTTTTTTCTCACATTAAAAAAATGCAATTTTAGGGCTCACGAAAACGTATTCAAACGTGCCTAAAACAGAAAAAAAAGTTGAAGTATATAAAGTTATATCAAAAATAATTTTTCAAATTGATATATATTATTATAGTAGGAGAGGCCCACAAAGGCAAAAGTGCCTAGCGCCCATGAAAATCATATTGTGGCCCTGGTTACAATCCTAATGCATTGGTTATTGAATGTCCCATTTTGTTGATTGTACGGACTCACTGACTCACAATCCGCCTTGAGTGCCTGTGACAAAGGCGGACTATGAATAACACAACTAAATAATTTTTAAAATGGGATCTTTTGATGGGGGGGCGTGGCGACGCCAGGGAAGATGGCGGTCGTTTGATCTGCGAGCTCTCCCTCCCCTACCAACCCCACAGTAATTTCGCTAACCTTCATCCTTCTAAAAACATCAGATTATGGGAAAGAATGGTGGCACTAACTCCCAGGATGCCAAAAGAGTGATTAAAATGCCACAAGACTTTCCTGACAGGAAGGTGGCCGAAACGGAGAACGCTAAGATGGCAGACGATAAACTGATTGCACAACTTCTGGAGCATGTCCTAGCTAAACAGGACTTGTCGGGTAAACTGGATAGGATGGAAAGACGATTAAGTGATCAATTTCAGCACTCTCTTGAGCCCATAAAAGTGCAGTTAGCACAAATGCAGTCCACCTTAGATAAAACAGCAAAACTGGCTGAAAAATCCATTACATAAGTAATGCACTAAAGGAAGATGTTAAGGAAGTTCAGGTGCGGGATTTAAACTCAAGGGAATGGTTGCTGACTCTTGAGTCGCAAATGAAATAATTAAATTTAAAATTAAGAGGGGTGCCTGAGGGGGCGGAGGAAAACATGGACACAATTTGCTTTGTAACAAATTGGCTGGCTTCAATATTCAATCTAGAGCCAAGGGTAGCCCCAATTATTTAAAAAGCGCTTCGACTGGGTGCTCCTCTCAACCCAAAACGAACTGCCCCGAGAGATCTCCTCATACAACTGGCCGACTGGAGAACAAAGAAAAAAATACAAGGTGAAGCGAGATCCAGAGGCTTCTCACGTTTTAAAGATTTTAAAGTGTTAGTGTTCCCAGACGTGCCGCAGGAGGCTCTTAATATCAGGAGAAATTTAAAGCCGATTACCAACAGGCTGCAAGATGAAAAGGTGCGTTATAAATGGCTCCTCTCAGGCTGCCTGCAAGTCTCACACCGTGGTTCCCTTCTCACAGCTTCAGACGAGGACTCAGGTTTTGAACTATTAGAAAAGCTACATCTCTCCAGACGCTCTGGCTCGTACCGTAGTTCCACAAAACGAAAATCACGCTCCCCAACTACTCCGGAACAAAATAATAAAGTTTTATCCCGAGACTCCAGCTCTTCAATGTCGGCGGATGGATCTCCTGCTCGTCCTGTTTAGCTCCTTAGAGGCCGTTCATAATAAACTGGCAATGTAGATCATAGTCTAGCTTACTTACTGTTGCAATCTTTTCTTACCCTTATTGTTATATTGTAGGTTCGAGGGTTCAATAACGACACAACACACAGAGATCTGTTGAAGCTCTCTGACCAAGCTCTCAGTTCTCTCTCTGTCCCAACTGTCTGTCTGAACTGCCTGTCAGCAGCGCTTTATTTAGAGCAGGCTCACACATTTCTCCCCCCTGCCCTGCACAGTGAAAACGTTACAAAGAAGAAGCCTCTAACTAGAATCACAATATGTTCTTAACAGGATGTTCTTTACGCTGAAGCTCTCCTATCTTGCCCGAATGTAGCCAGGTTTATACTCTCAGCAAACTCAGCAGACCTGTCGGGTTTGTGCACTGCTTGCCAATCTCCCTGTGAGAACTTGAACTCCCGGGCATGCCTCACAGGAGTTTTTCATTCCCACATTATATCTTTTACATTGGAGTTGCACATGATACTTTAACTCTAATAAGACTTGGATGTTGGCTTGCTTAATCTTGTTTTCCAGCTTTACTGGGGGGGAGGGGATCTCTTTGCCTCTAAATTTAAAAGACCTCCTCTGGTTGTTGTCCCATTATTGGGGCTCAACACCACATTCCCAAGGTTGGTCTTTCCTTTTTTTTAGTTGATAGCATTTGATAATAGAATCAGTTTGATAATTTTGAAAGGCACATTCACAGTTGTTCTGAGTTAAGCGTTATATTACTGTTTTTTCTGGGGGGAGGGGGAACTTGTTATTAAGGGGCTATAAAACTTCAACCTTTGCTCATTTTGACAATAGCAAGATCTAGCCACTGCCGCTTTTTAAGCTAGTTAAAAATATTAAATTAATACTTATATTTACTGTAGGTTTGTAATTGCATCTGAAAATTAATTGATAAGGATCTGATCGCTGTTGATAATTAATTGTTGATAATTTGATTAGTTATTTTTATTAATTGTGGGGAAACCTAGTGCTGTGAATAATTAATTGTTAATAACCGGATTCACACTTAAATTAATTGTGGATAACTTGATTAGCTCCGATTATTAAATTGCAGAGAACCTGATTACTATTAATAATTAATTGTTGAATAATCTGATTTCCCTTAAATCAATTTGTTGAGAATCTGACTTGGTTTATTATTGTCTCAACTGCTGGTATTTTATTCAAGAAACTTCTTTAAGAACTTGGAGCCAAAGTTCTAACATACTTCTAAAAGTTACCTTTTTTATATATTGTTGCTTAGACACACAGTTTGGTTACCTATAACTAACACTTGCAGATTGGCATTAATACAGCTACAACATCTTTTCTAAGGTGCTACCTTTGCCATCTTAACCACATATTTTAATAATTTCACAACCTAATTTACAAAAATCCAACATTTCTTCTTTAACTCATAATGAACACTTTGAAAATTCAATCGGTTAATATTAGAGGTCTTAACACCTAGGTCAAACGAAGAAAGGTCTTATGCCAGTTGCAGCTTACAAAGCCATTAATTCTGTTTCTACAGGAAACACACTCTAAATCTGATAAACATCCTATTTTAAAATCTTCTTGGTTTCCGCAACAATTTCAGGCACCAGGGTCATCTAAAGCAAGAGGAGTGGCGATATTGTTCTCTAAAGCACTCAACTTCTCAGTTAACAGCATGAAAGTAGATCCTCTGGGCTGCTTTCTCTTTCTTAAAGGCACTCTAGAGGGCAGGAAACTCACACTGGCATCAATATATGCCCCAAATCTGAACCAAATTGCTTTTCTGAAATCCACCTTTTCGGAGTTACAGGCCTTCACAGAAGGTGAGTTGATCATAAGTGGAGACTTTGCAGATAAAATACTAGATAGGTCCTCTGTGAAGCATAAAACTAACTCGTATCTTAAAACAGGAACAAGCACAGGGCTATCTAGACTTTTTTCTGAATTTAGATTAATAGATACCTGGAGGTCCCTACACCCGATAGACCGAGACTACTCATACTTCTCGGCACAGCACCAGACCTTCACAAGGATAGATTATATTCTAATATCTGAACAATTATTGGCAGAACTAGTATCAGCGTCCATTGGCCCAAGGTACTTGACGGATCATGCATGGCTTGACTGTCAACTACAGAAAAATCCAAAGACAAAGCGAGACAGACACTGGTCATTGGACACCTCAATCAAGGAAAAGCTGGAGACTGACATCAGGAACTTTTTTCAGGAAAACTCATCACCAGAAATCTCTGCCTTCATGTGTTGGGATACCATGAAGGCTGTTCTTCGAGCGTCAGTGATTTCTCTCACATCACATCTACGGGAAAAAAGAGAAAAAGTCAGAAGAGATACGTTAAACCGGATCATCCGACTTGAATCTAAATATAAAGAAACAGGGAGTAGAAGGATATATGCTAAGTTAGTGGCGGAAAGAAAGACTCTCGAAACATTGGAAACATCGCAAATCCAAAAAAACTTACTTTATTTAAAACAGCAGTACTGGCAAAAATCTCCTAGGAATGTACGCATGTTGGCATGGAGGATAAAAGAAAGAAGAAAGGCAGCTCTTGTGACTACACTGAAAACTTCGGATGGCAAACATTATACCTCTCCTAAAGCAGTAGCAGAAGGATTTGCTGACTTCTTTGCTAAACTATACACCGCCAGAAAACCAGTGATAAATGATATTGTGACTTATTTGAACACTGTACCAGACCTAAAAAAGCTTTATGGACAAGCCCATAGACTGAAAAGAACTTATGGACACCATTAAAGACTTGAAGCTAAATAAGGCCCCCGGCATAGATGGAATTCCTGCAGAGCTTTACAGAACCTTTCGCTTAACATTGGAACCTCACCTGCTTAACATATGTAATGAGGCCTTAGGTTTAGGAACAATACCTCAGTCCTGATATGACTCTTCTATCTCTGTAATCCCTAAAGCCAAGAAAGAGCTATCAGACCCCGCATCATACCGTCCAATAGCTTTGTTAAACAACGATGCGAAGATATTCACTTCAATACTGGCCAATAGACTTAAAAAACTGGTACCAGAATATATTAATCCGGATCAGACCGGCTTTATTCCAAATAGGCAGATAACGGACAATGTTAGGCGAACGCTTAACATTATATCTTATGGGAAAACCTCCTTTTCTGAATCTGTAATCCTGGCTTTAGATTTTGAAAAAGCCTTTGATTCCCTAGAAATCCCCTATCACCTCATGCTTCTGGAAAAGTTGGGCTTTGGCCAGAACTTTCTCAACACTTTAGAAACACTATATGCTCACCCTAAGTCTAGAATACGAGTGAACGGCTACAATTCAAACTTCTCTCCGTCCAGAGGAACCAGGCAGGGGTGCCCCCTCTCACCATTGCTATTTGTGCTTGCAGTGGAACCACTAGCAAATGAATTGCGTCACAACCAGGAGTTTGCTGGTATCTGCATTAACGGGCAAGAACATAAATTAACAATGTATGCCGACGATATCACCCTTTATATTTCTGATCCTGAACGGTCCATACCAGCCATTCAAGCTACTCTTTCTCGGTTTGGGGCATTGTCCGGTCTATGCCTGAATACCACAAAATCAGAAATCTACCCTATCACTCTCTCCAGTAAAACCCGGTCAAAATTACTTGAGTCTATGCCATTTCGATGGGGGGAAGATACTTGGAGACACCTCGGAGTCCAGATTCCTCTTGATCTACACAATTTGTTGTTATGCAATTATCATAAAACTTTTGCTAAGTCTCAAGAGAAGATGAAAAAATGGAACACACTTAAG